ATTACTTTCCACAAAGTAGAAAAATTTGGAATGCAGTGTTTTTGAGTTTATTTAGCTATGAGGTAATCATGGTGTGTGTGTGAATGTTCTTCTTTCAGTGCATAATTGCTGCCTCTGGCTTCCTATGTCTCCATTAAATCCCAAATGAAGACAACATGAAGGAACTCCTATTGGCCTTTTTCAGTTTGGGAAGTGTGGGATGCTTCAGAAAGATGGAAAAGATACATACAGAAAAATGTAGCTCCCTTCAGCACCTCCAGCAATAAAGCAAGCTCAAAACCGCTATAAAGATAAAGTTGAAAGAAATGTTCTAGCACCCTGCAAATAAAGTACAAACAGTTTTTTCTCAGGAGAACAAAACTTTGGCATAGTTGCAAGGCAGATTTTGGCAACGCCTTAATCTCATCTAGTTTTGTCTGGAACACCATACCCAGGACACCACACACCACTTCCAGTTCAGAGGATTAATTTCCATAAACCTCCCCTTGGAACAGCTTGGGCTGGAAGAGACTTCTCATGGTCCAGAGAGGGAATGAAATGTTCCAGATTTTTCCATACCCTTCCATTCTCAAACTGGCAAGTTCTGAACATCCTTAATCTCAGCCTGTAATCCCATTTACCATACCACCAGAAGACAAAAAGATCATCTGGATTCAACAAATACAAAATGGCAATGAATTGCCATGACAGGTTCCTTAAGGGCAGTTCCACTAGAGCAGACGATTTCAGCATTAGAGTTTGTTTTATCAACAACCCATGTGAATTGAATAGGAAAGCCTAGCATCATTTCCTTGGTGTATCTGCCGTTAGCAGGCAATGGCAGCTAATCTAAATCAATCCAGCAAATCCAAACTGAGGTCATACGCCTCTGGAACCTTTGAATCCAAACTCAGTGCCCTTCTTTCCTGTTCTCTTTTATGGAATGCCAAAATACCAGATATAATGCAGTGATTTTGAAAGAGTTGTTGAACTCTACTATAAATCCAGCATGTCAATTCCATCCTTGAATCTCCTATATAATGCCAGGGGCTTTGGGCAGCAAAATCAAGCTATCTTTGTCTCCTTGGCCATCATCCAGCTGCAAATAATAATCCATTAACATCTGCTTCACTGGTATCCTGGACAAATACAAGAGATATCTTTTAAATAAACACTGGCAGTTCCCAGTCAGAGAGAAAGCAAGGGAGTAGAAGAAAAACAATCCTTGACATTTCAGTGACTTTGCTGGGCTAGCTGACACCTGGTACTACCCTGATCTGGTGGTGTTATGCAGAGCTTGTCCTCTTGGCTCTTACCCTGCCTTTAAATAGAATTGAAAAGGCATAATGATAGGCAGTATCTTTCTTGGACATCCACGGTGGCTCATCCTCCCTTCCCGCATTATTTTCCCAAGCAAGGGAGATCCCAATGTTAATATTAACATGAACATCTGTGTTGCCGTCTTCCTCTGAAATTCAGCAAAACAGCTTAGCTGGCCAGCATGCCCCACGCCCTTTGTCAACAGTATTCTTTTTCCCACACTTAGCTTCTCGGATGGGTTCAGATTTCACATGCTTTCTCTCCCATCTATTGATTCCTTAGCTCATCATCTACCTAATGAAAACAATCTCATTGATCATCTGAGAACAATATGCTAGCATTCTGCATAGCTTTTAGACTTCCCAAAAAGATTTCTCTCTCCCTCTTTTAATCCATTATGGTTATTATTATACTTATTGTGTGTGTGGTTTTTTAAACATTCCTCACTCCTACTTTTCCCTTTGTGACATTTTAGACCCTTTTTGAGCATAATGCTTAGAAATTGGATTTTGCTTGAATAGGTTTTCAGTGCAAGCATAAAATCTGCATTGGCCAGAACACCTACCGTACTGGCTTTCAAGGTTCTCTGTTTCAGTTCCATATGAATATTCTTCATTTCTAAACTATGGATTGTATGCAATGGAGGACAAACAAAAGGATTCTTGTGCATGGGGAGTTCCTTGCTGTCTCCTTTCAGCTGCACCCCTGTATCTTCTGGGAAGAAATGGGGAATCTGTGACCCTCCAAATGTTCATAAAGTACAATTTGCAGTATCTGGAAAGCCACAGATTACCTAACCATGGATTAGGACATTAAGTTGGACACTGCCAAGAAATGACATTGCCATCAGCCTTTCTTGGAACTCCTTCTTTCTTCTGGAGTGATTGTTCAAGAAAGTGCAGGGGCCTGATACAGAAAAGGGACAGCAAGATTGCTGCAAATGCTTATTCTTGCACAAATTGCATATCCATATATATATCCATATATCCATACATATATACACACACACACACACACACACACACACGTATACACACACACACACACACCAAATACATGTTCATTGCATTGTATTCCTGTTGCAGGTGCAGAGAGATAAATACAGCATTAGATTAATTTCATGAAGAATACATATTGCATTCTTGAAATGGATGAAAATGCATTTTTAAAAAAACATATTATTCTAGCTCTTTTTGTTCCTTAGTAACCAAGAAACAGAATGGGGAGGAAGGACATAGATTTGCAGGGTTCTGGGAGAGTGTGCACATGCACAAGTTCATTCCTCTCCAAACACAGCACAGAAAAATGCACAATACTCATATAATTAGCCTTGTCTTACTGTGTTTTGGTAGATATAATTCAGTATATTGGCTAATACAAAAGGAGAAGATGAGGAATCTCAAGCTAATAGCAGTGATTTTTGTTAAGGGGAAAAGCATTAAAACTTGTTCTTTGCATGCCAAAATCCCCATCTTGCAGAGTTAGGGTCTTTTCTCACTTGCATTTAGCCATGGCAGAAACACATGCTGCAGCATTTGTTTTCTCTTACATTCTCACTGTTGTCTTCATTTCATGAATGAGACCATCTTTAAATTGTCCTTAACTGGATCCCTATTAAAAGAGTCTTTTTCCTCTTACTCTAACACTATTGAAGGCAACCTTAAAGTATAGTATCTGTTCAGTCTGGTCACCTATTATCTGGAAGGGAAATCAGGAGACTGCAGTGGCTTGAAACAGAGGCGATAAAAGAAGGGAAGGGATCAGTAGTGGGAAAGCAAATATCATGTTGGTAGTGTTTTGCAATCTCAAGGATGCCTGGAGAGCAACTCAACTGTGGAGAAAGGCCCAGGCACACCCCCCTTGTGCTATGTATAATAAAGATTCATACAAATTCAATGAAACATTCTACTCCCCATGTAGCTTGGCTCCAAGATTCCTATTTTGAAAGCACAAAAACTAGCCAAGATTGGTTACGACAGTATTTTCCACATTTTTAGCTAGGACCCTTTCGCATCCCCACTGCAAAACACAAAAGGAATGTATGGCTCATGGGAGCTCAGTCCCAGAAATAAAACTTCTAGACATACAGAACACGGAGTGGTTCCTTCATCACCAGGTAACTGGAACAGGTTTTTGTAGAAATGGATTGGGTATCTTGGATGTATCTCACATAGCTGGTCCATGAGTCCCCAAGTGAGACCTCCTCCATTACAGCTTTGCTTCAGCTACATTTTATCCTTCTTTTTCAGCAGAGGGTGGAGAGGGAAGGAATGGGTGCTTTGGCAGAAATGCCAGCCAGGTTGGGTCTGCCTTATCCATGCCTTGCTCTTCCCCTTTGAAAGGCAGTGGCACTGTTTAGAGCTGATCTTATTTGTATTCCTACAGGAGCAACAGCTGCACTGGTTCCACGTTGCCTGCACTGCAATCTGTTTTGGCAGTCCATGAAAAAGATGCAGTGAAGCAAAGCTGGCATATGTATAGGCGCCACCCCCATCTCTTCTTTAATCAGATTAGGCCCATAGGATGAAGGTTCCCCATTCTTTTGGGGAATGCAGACTGCAGGCTGAGAGTATGTGATTTGCACTTTAAACTTGTGCACATTTATTGTAACATCCACAAGGCTTTTCTCCTGCATAAACATCAGAGCTGTAGCCTTTTGTCAGTTTATTCCAATTATGTCTTGTTTAGTGTTGTATCTTCTGTTACATGGCTCACCGCACTGAATACCCATCTCATTTTTTTATATGCATATCAAAAGAAAAGAGATACAAAAAGAGAGAGATGCTGTAGAAGAGGAAATTACAATATAATTCCAGATGTCGTTAAACTCTTTTAAGCAGAACTAAAGAGAGAAGAAATTCAGGCCAATGACTTTGTCTTTGTGCTCCCTGTCCTCTTTAAAGCTGGTACCAAGCTATATATATATTTTGTAAACCGTATAGCTGCTCTTCTGAAGTTTTTAACAGGGAGGAAACCAAATGCTTCCTTGCTGACTGCCAAGAGTGAGGCTTATATTTAATATCTTCAAAGTGTAGAAGGTAGGGATTGAGCCAATCCCAAAATAGAAGGCAGCTCTATATCACTGTATTTTTAGTTTGAACATGTTACTCCATACCCTGTGTGGCCCAAATATGGCAATCTGTATTAACTTCCTGTTGGGTTTCTCGATACTGGAATCACGTTAGTTTCGGTTTCTGAGACAACACAAAACAGCCTATGTGGGTGGAACAGAACAGCTGGAAATCTTCCCAAAAAATAACAGATTAGCTCCCTTTGTAGACTGGATGGGGGGGGAAGTTGTTTACAAATCACGAGCCCATTATTTTTGTTGATTCTTCCTAATATTTACAGGTATCCAAGTGGGGGTGGAAACAGAGACACATTTTAAAGTGTCTGGGAGTGGCCTAAGCACACATTTGCATTGCTTCAGAGCATTTGGTTTCAGGCTGAAGAGACATCACACTGAAGTTCTAGCACGCATTGCCTTGTGCGGAGAGAATAGTAGATTGGGGGCGAAGACAAGGACATTGTGGGACACAGATGATCCAGTGGTCTCACTCTGCTTCGTTCAGTTCCTGACTGAGGGAAGGATGTTCAACTAAGAGTGTTTTCAGAGTCCCACTGAACTCTACAAGTTAGATATACAACATTCTGCAAAGTTGGCTGGGGGCCCTTTGAGGGCTTTGGGGAGTGAAGCTTACCTGTTTATTCATGTCCCCCTAGGAGAGTGAAGATAGGAGACAGGACGGTGCGTACAGATGAAAGGCACTCAGGATTACAATGCTAACATCTGAGGATAATAGAAAAGGCATCAGCAGTCCAAAAATATGTCTGTTTTTCCTTTGCTGATTATACCAAAGATTTTGACTATGTAGACCACAAAAAATTGTGGATAATCCTAAAAAACACGGTTGTCCCTCCTCATCTGCCTATTGAAGAATGTATATGATTGCCAGGAAGCAGCAATTTGAATAGAATATAAAACAAATGGTTCAGAATAGGGAAAGGCATGTGCCAAGGTTGTATACTGTCACCTTTATTTTATATTCAGACTGTATTATGGGAAATCCTGGACTAGAGGAGATATAACTTAATAATTCAAAATATTGATGATAATGAAGATGATGATGTTGATTTATGCACCTTTACCAAAGTATGGTACAAATAAGAGAAACACAGTAATTACAGAATTCCACCCTCAAAAATGGTGAACAACTTAACAGCCAAACCAATTAACAAGTATTAACACTAAAACAATCAAACACAACTATGATACTTAAAACAAAGTCCTGACATATGAACAAGTTTGTATACATCTGTCAAATAAAACAGATATTGACTTAGAAATTCTCAAGATGAATCAGAATAGGTGGGATAACAGAACCCTATACTAACCCACTAATCAAATGAAAAGTTTGTTAAAACCTCTTCAAGGCTATCAAGCTTTCACAAAGGAGTTAATTCCAGAGTCATGTGTCCAGGGGAAAATCTGGAACCTGAAAACTATGACCAAGGAACAAGGAACAGAAAGAAGACCCTGTTCAGAAGAATGTAAGGAGCAAACAGGATTATAGGGAGAAATAAGGAACGACAGATGCATAGGTGTAGGTGTGTGACCAGAGAGTTTTAAATACCAGCACCATCAGTTTAAACTGGGCTCTACCTCAAACAGGGAGTCAGTGTTGTAATGAGATATGACAAAATTGTGGAAGGTCCTGAACACCCAAATGGTACCTTACTAAACTCAGATTAGAGGATGGAGTGAGGAACACCAACCAGGAGACTATTGCAGTAATCTAAGCCTGGTTAGCAACTCCCAGATCCTATAAATTTTAATCAAATGAAAATTAGTAACCCTTGCTGTAAGATCACTAAACAGGTACAAAGTCAGCTGATCATCAAACAAGACTCAAAGGCTTGGAACTAAATTGCTGGGAGAAACTTAAACACTCAGATTTACTGATGTCAATACTCTTTCTATGGAGCTTCTTCACCTTTCATTTCCATGGAGTATCACAGGGAAAACCACTGTGTACGATTTTGATCTTCGTAACTACTGCCACATCACAGCAGTTGAATATCTTCTCCAAGGCCTTCATTACTACTCAGTTCATTTCATCTTCCACTGTATTGAACCTTCCCACATTCATGCTTCTGACATACCATGTTCCCACTGTACTTCTGTCTTTACAGCTTTACATTTTCTTTTCCTACTTGGCAGCATTAGCAATTAGATGTCTCAAAGACTTTAATCTAGCCACGTCATAAACAAATTAGTACTCTGAAAGATCCTCAGCTCTTCCTCAGTAGCATGTTGAGTGCTATCTGACTGAGGGTTCACCATCCAATGCTATATCATCAATCATTTCATATTATCTATCCGTGTGGTTTTCTCGATAAAATACATGAGTGTCTTACCATTGTCTTTTCCCACGCAGTATGAAAATATCTTTGGCATTGCCACTAAAATGATCATCTGCCTCCAACCCAATACAGGTGCTTGCTTGCTTTAGATGGGCAGCTGAGATAACCTCCATGCCTCGGGTGACCCTGCTGGGATATATATACTTGGCATACACCCCCAGCATTCTTCACCCATCCATCCCACAAATACCCCCCTGCCATGATGAGGTTGTATTGTGGGATTGGAGGGGGGAAGATAAAGTAATGATATACTTTACCATCCCAGTTTCAAAAATTCCCAAGGATGGGAATTGTAGTCGAGATACAGAGACATTTGCTACTGGGTGGGTGGGGGGAACAACTATGACAATTTAGATAAAATATTACAGTATAGGGGTTAAAGGCACTGGATTAGAAGGCAGGAGACTATGAGTTCTAATCCTGCTTTAGGCACCAAAGCCAGCTGGGTGTCTTTGGCAAGTCATTCTCTCTCAGCTCTAAGAGGGCAAAAGCAAGCCGCTTCTGAAAATGTTGCCAAAAAAGCTGCATGGAGTTGATCCTGCAGTGACCAGCAATCAGGATTGACTCAATGGACCACCACCACCACCACCATCACCACAAGAGACATCTGACAAGAAAGGTATGTATTGACAAAGCTCTGGTTTTCTCTGTTGTAACTTACAGCTTTGAAAGTTGGACCATTCAGAAAGGCTGAGCAACAACAAAAGATGTCTTTAAAAAGATGTCATGCTGTAAAATATTGAGAACATTTATATTGCAGGAAGAACAAATCAACACTAAGTAATGTAATATGAAACATTGCTCACTGGAAACACTAAGAATGCAGTTAAACTTAAATATTTTGGACACATAATTTGAAGGCAAGAGTCATTGGAGAGGACTCTGATGCTTGGAAAAATGGGAGGCGATAAAAAAAAGGTTGCAGATAAGTGGCCAGATACTATCACTAATGACACAAGTGTGAGCTTCCAAGAACCCAAAGAAACAGTGACTGACAGACAGTCCTGGTAAAATGATGTCCATCAGGTCATGAAGAGCCAAAGGCATCTGAATGACTCAACAATAACAACAACAAAGCTGAGGTCAGAAAAAAAACAGAGCTCATCCCTCAAGGAACATTTGACTTGAGTACCCCCAAATTTACCATGATGCCTAAAGACTGTATACTGTGTGTATATTGTATCAGAAGAAAGGTTTCTAATGTTTCTATGGGAAGCTATCTCTATTAAATTGATTTCAATATACAGTAATTCAATGTTTTGTATATCCTTCAAATTATGCCTGCTCTGCTCCTGCCTGGAGGTAAAATGAAAAATGCCCCTTTCAGCAATGTGTTTATCTCAGATGGTTTATCTGTCTGCAGAAGAATCTTAAAGCTAGTGCCCTCCAGATACACTGGGCTTCAGCTCTCATTAATCTTAAAATGGCCAATGTATGTTCTAAGAATTCATACTATGGACAGCACTAATTTTGAGTGGCTTCTACAAAGTTTCTCTGAGGATGGAATAGGATAAAGATTTATTGTTCTAAATCTTTACTAGGAGATAGGCCATCTTATTATTACTGCTAGAATGAATAATAACTTAAATAATTATTATCTAAACTAAAACAAAAAGCAATTCATCCAAAAGTCATTTAGAAAGTCTAAGCCAAGTCTGCAGCTGGGGGATAGAAAAACATACAATATACCTTAAACCATTATTATTATGTATATACTCACTTGGTTAGTTATTCAGTTAGTTATTATTTCAATTCCTCCACAGAAAGATTTTTGTCAAACTAAAAATAGTCAGAATCCTTCAGTAAACCTCTGTGCTTTGAATTTGTATGTCGTTTTTTGAAAAATTGTAGAAGCTGAAAAGCTGCAGTCTACAGCTGGTATCCACTGTTATCGGAGGATTTGTATGGTCACCTCAGGGTATTAGTGCTTCAGGGAGTCGAATTATCTAATCTCTCTCCAGTATTTCTAATCTTTGTATTCCTAGAGGGCTGCTCTTGTACCCTTGGCTGAGCCCTTATCTTGAAGAACGTTCTGTGTCATGCTTATCTGCAATTCACATTGACACAGGAACAGTTCTGATGTTGGCTTTTTGTGGATGTGGGAATCAATCCAGTGTGGCCTCTGATGGCCTTTAGTATATATGCCTGAAAATATAACAGGCCGAGTGTTGCAGGTTTCTTGCGATGCACAGAAACTTCTATATATGTGAATGCCACCTCAAGATCTCTCTTTAATGGGTGGATCAGAACAGTTCTTTCAATTCTCCCACCCATAAACACAGCCATATGAATAATGGACTTTAAAGGATAAAAGGAACATCTTCCTTTACCTCATGATATTAATACAATCAAAATAAAATTTGTCCATCACAGACTCTTGTATGAGTTTCCTTTGTAATCATCTTCAGTTGGTGATGGAAAAGTAGATTATGGGAATGCTGTAGATGTAGTATATATTGATTTCAGCAGAGTAGTTGACAAAATGCCCATGGTATTCTGATTCGCACACTAGTTCAATGTGGACTGGATAGCATGTTTATTACCTAAATCCTCAGCTGGTTCAAAATATTCCTCAAAAGAATGCCAAATGTTTCTCATCAGATTGGAGTGATATATTGAATGGGGTGCCACAGGGTTTAGCAATGGGCATGATGCTTTTTAACTTTTTTATAAATTACTTTGATGAAGAGTGGAGGAAATGTTTATTAAATTTGTAGATAGCACCCCCAATCCTCTAGGAGATAGAAACGAATTTCACAATAATGTTGATAGAGAAATCAGCTGAATGTATCATAATTAAATTTAACAAAGGCAAAGTTTTTCACTTTGGAAAAAAGAAATTGTATGTATAGACATATGATGGCTGTGTGTGTGTGTGTGTGTGTGTGTGTACTTGGTTTAATAATAAAATACGTGGAAATTGGAATTGTAGTTAGTCACACTAACATGTAACATGGCTACAAAAAAGGCAATTTTAGGCTGCATCAGTAGAAATTTAGTTTCCAAATAATTGAAAATAATAGTTCCATTCTATTCTTCATCGGTCAGACACTATCTTAAATTCTCTATGACCAGTTCTAAGCATCACATTTTAAGGATTCAGACAAGCTGAGAAAAAAATGCAACACCTCTATCAGCAAAGATTACTAGGTATATTTAGCCTTGACATGATAAATGGAGCTGGATATGAAAACAAATGTAGGTGTCACACAGAAAATGCTGTGACAGCTATCCTCTCAGTGCACCAGTTAGAAAGTAGAGGTTTTACATTATGTATCCATTTGCTGGATGTGTTCACAGAAAAGCTATACCAGTGTTGTCCAAACTTGACCACTTTAAGATGAGTGGACTTCAACTCCCAGGAATTCCCCCGCCCGCCCTCCTGCCTGGGGGGGTCTGGGCGTTTAAGTAACCCTACATTTATATGTGGAAATCTTTAGAA